TGAATTGCTGAAGTTGTCGAGTTTTGTTAATGATTTGCTGAGAATTTCACTTCGCTTTCTCTGGAATCGTTAACCGTTTATGAGAGTGTCATTTTGTTATTCGTTCTCGGTTGTTATTTTGCATTTGTTTGTGAGTTTACTTTACAACTGTGCTGCTCGCTTTTTCGTGTGTGCTTGTCATGTGGCACTTCACATTGTTGCTGGCCAGTCCTTTCTAAAGTTTCACAAGATTGCTTTTTGCTGCGACATTTTCAAGTAAGTGATTATGCTGAGTGTAAGCTGCTATCTTCAGTGTTTTGTGGCTCGGTGATATTCCTCACCGGACAACAGATGACGAAGGGCGTTCCTAGTGAGGATGGCGAAACTTGAAATGGCAGCTTGGGTTGAAGAATTGTGTGAAACTAGGTAGCCACTGGAGCGTAAAATGGACATATTGGTCCAAAGTCAAGTCTGTGTAATCGGAATTTGCAAGATAATGCAGAACGGAATTGAGGAAGTTGCAGTGATGTGATAAGCTGTTGAATGCAAAGGTATGAGAAGAGCGGTGAAGAATGGTAATTGCTCATTTGGTGAATGCGTGATGATTTGTTGTTGTTTGTTGTTGTTGTTGTGTGGTTGTTATTAATTAATTAATTGATGAAGAGATACAAATTGTTGTGTCGATTCATTGTTTGTTGAATCATTTTGCTATCATCTGTCAGTGATTGTTGTTGTTAATCGCGTTGATTAACATAATCCAAATAAAGCATATCTTCCATTTGGTGTGCTTGTTTACGATTTTATCTTCTTCTACACACAAGAATTAATTCTTAAATCTGATACACCTCTGAAATGCATCAATTAAAATCAATGAATCAGTCTCATTCTGCATTGCGTTAAGTGCGTGCATATGTATGGAAGTAGTTCTCAACAAGGCGATTTTCATTCAATTCGCATTGTTTGTCTGTGGAACCAATGGTAGCGAAAAAAAAATTTCGCATGTCCTAAGGACAGTCGTAACTATGGCAATTGCAAAATTCAATTTCAAGTTTTTCATCGGCGAATTGATACATTTTCCACGGCATATATGAAATTCTCATCAGTCTCGAATAATCACATTTGAGAAAATGGTTTTTTCTTCAGTAAGCATTGCAATTAGTTATCAAAGAATTCACTCGTAGAGTTTCAAACGGCATTTCTTAAACTTTAGTAATCGTAGTTGTTTGCAAAATAGTTGCAGCTGAGGTTTGATATGTCGAATTAAACAAATTTTAATGAGCACATCTCATACGTTTCTATATTCGCCGCATTCATCTGTTTAATGTTAATACACACACCGTTCAATTAATTTCATGTATCTTTTGTAGGCACTAACACGTAGTGTAGCGATTTATGCAAAAATTTCTTCAATGATCACAACAGAATACTGATTTTTCGAATTTTCTAGGGTCTTTCCATTGCGGTGGCAATCATTTAGGCATTAGATCAGCATCTTATAGTAGTGGCAGGGATTCATTTCTCATTCGCGAGAGGACCGACCTCCCGGGAACGGTTGCGGAAAGCGATTCATTTTTGTGAGTGATACAAACAGCCACGTCGTATACAATGTTTTGCGGTTTGACTGCTCAAATGGGACAAGAGCACACAGAAACATACGGTAATTAGAATGTTGATGCAGAGAAGTTCTCATACGGCAGTGCTTGATAAATCAGGACAAACAGACGATATGCCATCAGCAATTGTTGATGCAATTGCATTTTCGTTCACCACTTTTCGTCTGCGACGAATCGTTATTGGCAATCTTGGCAGATTCTTTGTGTAGAAATTGATTACACTAGCTGACTGTGACTTCACTTCGTCTTTACCGTTCGATTGTGTTTGTGTCGTCTCTCGTTGCGATGATGACTTCTGAAAGAAAGCGATTAATTCAGCTGCTGCACAGAAAACGCCTCAATATTTTCCGCATTCAGCAGCTGTCCGTTGAATACGGCAAATTGCAGTCGCTTGGGTCAGCTGCTTCGATTTGACACATTTGTTTGTGTTCATGGATTTCTGAAACGATGCACGTTCAACGACGTAGCAGCTGAAACGAAAAATCAACGCAATCATTCATAATGAATATAACGCGTACATTCAGTGGTTCCATCGAGTTTCATTTATGAGCAACGCTCATGTGTCTGTCACTTTCATTAAAGATGCACCTGATGAATTGCACTTATCAACGAGTTTCAACTCGCCTTTGTTAGGTTTGTTCGCATGACCAGTGCAGAAATGATACAGTACAAATGCAAA